CAAAGTGTTATCATATGGCCAAGTCAATGCAAGTATGGTTTAAAAATGAGTTTTGGGGCTATTGTGCACCCCTATTTTAATTGCACAGCTAAATGTGCACAAACAAAAAGGGGTCCATATTCCTAAAGCTCTAAATACCCAATCATGCAAGTGATACATATTCAAACACTCACAAAGATTCCATGGCACACCCCACCTGCTTTCCCTCTTTCACTATCACACACTCTCACACACATCCTTTCTGCTCTTGTCAAGTGTAATAGAAGACATGGTGGAAAGACAACAGGATAATAAGATTATTATTCTCCTCTAATCTCCATGAGTCAGCCCCACACAGTTTGTGTGTCTATGTGTGTCTTCATTTAACTATAGTCTGTGTACGTTTCTGTGCACACAATAAAAGCCTTTTTATTTTGTGATTATATTCTATGTTTCACCTTGAAATAATATAAAGACCTTAGACTGAGGAAACAAACCATTTGAGTGTGTTTTGGTGAATAATAAGTGCTTTCTTATCTTTAAATAACAAGTTAGAAAACATAACTGAAGACAATGCAATGACACACATTATGTGGGTATGTAAAAGGGTCAATGCAAGAGGTATAATTGAAAAACTGTATGAAATTAAACACAGTAATCTATGTTCCCTTGTTGCTAAAGGTATTTAGCAGTTATGTTGATTAATTTGATGTCTAAAATGAAGCATAGTATACTTGATATTATTAATAACCATTAAAGTAATTTCTAATGCACAATGCTGTGTTGTCCTATATCATCCTGAACCACTTAATTTCAACAAAAGCTAGATCTTCTTCGGCTAAGGGACTATTGGAATCTAAATGAATTAGTATCATTTTAGTTGAGGATATAATAGGAGCAGCTTTGGCCAAGGTTAGACTCTGACAGTCTGAACAAATGTGTCTCCTTTTATCGTGAAGAAACTCTAGCCACGGGTCTATTGAAGTCCTAATGAGTTGCACTATTTTATCTTGAGAACACCCCAAGAATGATTTCATAATAGGACTGTATTACTGCTTAGAAATTACTATTATATTGATAAAGCCATGTTTAATTTAGCCAAGGAACTATTGATAAAGTGATTAGTTATTCTCTCTTTATTCAAAATAATCCACCCACTTAAAGCCAAGGGACTATTGCAATGCACAGGGTCAAAAAAAAGTTACTTATATTTAAAAGTGAGAACTTTTGCTGGTGGAGTATAATAATATGTATGAATCAGCATGTCAGAGTTGGCGTTAGAATGAGTCACAATGGATAATACTTTTATTAATAGAGCTTGTGTAGGAGGCAGTGCATAATGCACCCTCATGCACTGTATACAGCAGTGCAAACACAATTCAAAATATATTTGATTGCTATATCTTGCTGTGTGTTTGTAATGTTGTACATTTAACATAATTGCATACAATAACTGTTGTGTCTCGTCAGATCTGTTAGTATTATTTCTCTGTGAGTCTATATTGTCAAGTCTGTGTCTGCCATTTCCTGTTTTACTTTGTCATTTCCCTTCTCATTTCAGGTAGTTCGATTCCTACCTTGCCTGTTTGTCCACTGACCTGATTACCTGCCCCGCCCTTATTGTTTGCACCTGTGGAGTCCCTTGCTTTTGTATATAGTCTGTGTGTTCCCTGTGCTCAGTGCCAGATTGTTTTTGAACCCTGTGAATGGCTTACCTTGTTTAACACCTCAGTAAAAACCTTTTTCATTGAATCATCTTTTGTCTGGAGTCGTGCATTTGGGTCCTATCAGTTTTGTGTGCCCCATCCGTAACATGTTTGTCTATGCCAAGTGCTATATAAATAGTTTGATTTGATTTGTGTGAGAAATATCGTTGAATCTGCTTGGCTATGATGAGGAAGAAGATGAGCACACACACTTGTCCTGTGGAGCCTCACTGGGACACACACAAGATAAACTGAGGAGATGATGTCATGATAAAAATGAAATGGCCATCTTGTCATTCGGATGGCAAACATCTATACCGAGGAGAAACAAAGTCCATTTCTGTTTCCTCTGCTTGTTATTCATCATGAGTGTGAATCTGATCTACCCATCAAATCATCACTCTCATCACTCTCTGTGGAAATGAAAAACTGCCCTTCACTGAAATGTGTTAGCTGTACCCGTTAGCTCTGTGCGGCTAACTGTGATTCAGCATTCAGCGTGTGAGTCAATGCTGTGTGTATTCCACAGATATTAAGTCTATATCATATCAGAGAGCATCCACTGATGGAGTGCTTTATATCACACCACACATCCTTTGCAAAGAGCATTTCCTTTTATTGTTACTGATGTACCGAGGGGATTACACATTGTGATATCAATCAAATAATCTGCCGTCGTCTGAACCGGGTGCAGGGCAGAGTAGATTACAGAGAAAATACACGATCACATCTGGTTCTCCACATCTGCGCTTCCTGTTTACTTTATGGTGTGTGTGTATCATTCAGGAGAGGCTTCAGTGTGTGTGCGGTGCAGCGCTTTACTGTATGCTGCTGATGCTTAAACACCATTCCTTCTTTTGATTTACATCGTAGATCGTGTTGTGTTCAAACACCCCCAGAGGGAAACAATTGCACACAATGCTGAGGAGAGATTGCTTACAGATGTCACGAGGTGCTTTATGATTCTCCTCTGCCGCTACATACATCAGGTGTTCGGTAGCGATACAAAACAATAAAATACATGTCACGTTTTTTAGGCTGATATTGCTTCCCAGGCTGATTTTTCAACAATACCCGAACCCTCATCCAGGGGCAGCTGAATAAAACAATCACTACACAGTGACTCACTGTTGATACAACTTCTTTGTCTTGGAGGATCTGCAGAGGAATGTCAGCGGCATGCAGAAGCTGAGTATTATATCACAGGGTTGTTTTGTGGTGCCTGCTCCCAGAGAAGTGAGATTAAACTACATCCTCAGGCCCTCCCGCTCACCATTCTGCTGATGGAGGCAGAATAACAGCGTGAAGAGGTGGCTGGCAGAGGAGGAGGGTGTCTGAAGACTTCAGAGAGCAGACACACACACTGAGAACCACACACACACACACACACACACACACACACACACACACACACACACACACACACACACACACACACACACACACACACACACACACACACACACACACACACACACACACACACACACACACACAGAGAGAGAGCTAACTCCAGAAGATGCCCCTGCCTCAAACACAAACAGGAGTTAGTTTGTGAACAGCAGAGGAGAGGAGAAGCTGAAATAACTGGCAACCCAACCCAGACAGCCGTTATTTCTGATTTGAAGGTCAAAGGAATACACTGGAAAAAATGCTGCTCCAAAATAGAAAACAATTTTGATTTCAAGTGAAACAAGGTGTTTTCACTTGAAATACGTAAAAAGATCAGCCAATAGATCCGTGGAATTTTTCCTGGTAAGATTTCTTGAAATACGATGGGATATTTAGACATATTAGATCTTTTAATTAGCTGGGATTAGCAGGATCAGGAAATGTTTTACAAAATTAGCCAGACATGTTCTAAAGTCTAAAGTGTTCTGTTTTCTGATGCTAGTTGGTGATCTTCCAATTCAAATATTTTCTAAAATCAAGCAAGATTTCTTTTATTAAAACAAGATGATCCGTTTTTTACAAATACCAAAGCAGCTTAAACTTGACATTTAAAAAGAACAACTTTATCTGAGATCCAACTCAAAAGAAGATGTTTTCAAGAGTCTGACTTAACAAGAACCTTGAGATGCATTGTCTAAAAAAAAGAACTATATCTCACTGCATTGTTACTGCTCAATTTGCTATGTCTTATATGAAGTGTAAAGAAAGATTAGAAATAAGAGATATATACTTGGCAAGATTTCAAGTTTTTACAGTGTACTAAAGAAGTTTGAACTCCTTTAACACGTTCAGGTGACACACTGGTTCTGTGTGGACCAGACTGACAGTGCTTGAGAGGCGGTGGTGGAGAGAGTACTCAGAGTCTTTACTCGAGTAAAAGTACTGACACACTCCTACAGAAGAGATCCTGCTCACCTTGAGAACTGGCCTCTGTCTACAGGCTCTCGGAACGTTCCACACCACATACAGTAACGACAACACCTTTTGGTTTTTATTACCATATCAAAAAATACAAAGAGACTGAAAAACCCTGTAGAGAGAACGCTTAGTTGTAGTTTTATAAAAGTGGATTGCGTTCAAATGTTCTGACCCTTGTATCTGCTGACACACACACACACACACACNGGAATTCTACCGAGCTCGTAAGACTCCGCGGTCTTAAAATCCCCACAATGCTTTGCGCATGGACCAATTTCCCCAAATCTGTGGCGGAAAATGTAAGGCCGCCTTACATTTTCCGCCACAGATTTGGGGAAATTGGTCCATGCGCAAAGCATTGTGGGGATTTTAAGACCGCGGAGTCTTACGAGCTCGGTAGAATTCCAAGTATGCTGGACATTGGAACAGTACTTCGGCGGCACTCGATGACGTAGTATGCTTGAAATAGTGGCTCTGGAGCAGCTTTACTCTCGATTGAGAAACACCCACTGACAAGCAGGGGCTCTTGAAAGTGTACCAGGTCTGCACCCCCCCAATAAATACATTATCATTCCAGCCAGATTGATCATAGCACAGCACATTAGACAATAATTCAAGCTCCTGTGGCCATATTGTTGAGTTATTTACCCCTCCAACCATTGACGAAGCTTTTGATTGATGGAAAGATTTAAGAGTTGTAAAGCCCTGGCAATTTATACATTCAGGGTACATTGTCATCATTTCAGCAGCTTCAGGAGAAATATGGGCTAACGCAAGTTTTGTCAGGTTTTATGTGTTCAATATAAAGGGATTACAACAGCATTTAGTTGGTCAGCCCTGTTAAACAATAATAAATCGACCTTGATCCTTGACAAACTCTGCTTTCTTTAGGTTTGATTGGTCAACATATTTATGTCCGTTTTATATGTTGTGTATTTAATTAAACGTTGGGCTCTCTTCCACTCCCCAGGCTCCATGACCGTAAGATGTGCATCGTTGGCCTGAGCGTGCTGATGGAGCTGCCCCGCCGGCCCCCAGTGCTGGAGGGGGTCTCTGCCCAGATCCTCCCCTCAGTTCTGCTTCTGTTCCTGGGCCTCAAACACCTCTACGCCTCCCGCCTCGTCAACAAACCAGACCTGCTGGCCAATGCAGGGGCACAGGACGAAGACCAGAATGGTGAGAAAATAATCAGGACGATTGGAGGATAATGAAGATGGATAATATAAAAGAAGTGTGCAGGACAGGGTTAGAGTGTGTAAACTAAGTATAATAAGACAGACAGAGAGCAGAGGGAAGAAAACCGATTGGCTCGGTGATGAAGGCTTGTCTTCTAATCTTGTAGCACACTGAGCTCAGAGTTTCTCCTGCGGCCGGGTATTTGAAGTACATGGATTTCATCACATTCAACAGAAGCAAAATTACATGTTTTCCTTACAGGGAAAACAATACTTTTGAACATGAACGAGCAGATTCAGATTAGCATTGCATTTGACCTTGTGTGTAGGAATAAGTATTTTTTTCTCTCTCTCTCTCTCTCTCTCTCTCTCTCTCTCTCTCTCGATATATAGATATATCTATAGATATATATATATATATCTATAAATATATAGATATAGATATCTATCTATATAGATATAGATATCTATCTATCTATCTATAGATAGATATCTATCTATATAGATATCTATCTATCTATCTATAGATAGATATCTATCTATATAGATATCTATTTATCTATAAATAGATCTATCTATCTATCTATCTATATCTCTATCTCTATATCTATATCTATATATATATAAAGCATTCTAACTTTGTATAAGATGCAGTCTGTCTTAAAGGCTCAAGTGAAATGATGTCCTTGATGTTAGGACCACAGTCAACTGTAGTGGATGCGATTTGGCAATTTCATCACTGGAAAAAATGCACATTATAAAATTGTACAAATATAAAAAACCTCAACTTTAAATGTACCTTTCATTGTAAAATGGGTCTACAGCTACCTAACAGCTGCCGGGCTTTGCTGCCAGTACGGTTCCTGCTAAAAATGAGAAACATTCGTATCATGCAGTTCCGTGCGCTTGTTTTGTAAAGTGTCTGTCGTTCGGTTCAAGAGAGTGAAGTCTGAAGACATAGGGAATTATGAAGGCTGTGATCCAAATGATTGTATGATGTTGTGTATGGACAGAGGAGATTCCCAGTGATGAAGATGAGGTGAGCGAGAACCAGAGCGCCATGCAGCATCAGTCCAGCAGTCAGGCCGGGGAGGAGGAGGAGGAGGAGGACGACGACGAAGAGGATTACTGGGATGACGACGGGTTTGAGGGAACGCCCCTGGAGGAGTACAGCACTCCGCTGGACTACGACAACGGAGAGGACGAGTATAGCTTCTTCACCTCCGCCCTGCTAAGTAATTGAGTTTTTTTTTGTATTCTACTAATTAATTCAAAACTAAAAAAGTATAATTCATACACACAAAGATGAACAAAATGAGTAGAAGCGGGAGGGCTGAAGCATATCTTATGGGAAGTAGCCCTCCCGTGACTCATCCTAATACAACATTGGCATTATTGCGTCAAAAACGTATAGAAATTAAGGAGTACAAAGAAAAATGGAGAAAAAATAAATAAAAGTTAGGGCAAGAAAAAAATAAATGCATATACGTATATATATATATGTATATATATATATATGAAAACTAGATATAGGGTCATTTTCTGCACATGTCAATAGCAGTTTCAACTATCTTTTTTGCAAATTAAAATACTATATATAAATATATACATAGGTACACATGTCCATCCATCCATCCATCTTCTCCCGCTTATCCGTGGTCGGGTCGCGGAGGTAGCAGTTCCAGCAGAGAGCCCCAAACTTTGTTTTCCCTGGCCACATCAACCAGCTCTGACTGG